TCTGGATATTTGAAACATCGCTTTTGATAAATGTAGACAAGACATTCGATCAATTATGGCGGGAACAACCGACACCAATCAAACCAGGAAATGCCAGCCAAATTGCAAGCTTAGAAAGATGGGTAAGTTTTTCCAGTTTTCTTAAGATTTTTTATGCTATAAAGAATATGTAATTTGTTTTTATTGCTTTTTAATTAAGTAATTAAATAATAATTAAAAACAAATTAATCAAATGCTTACTTAATTTAATTGCCATTTTAGCTTGAGTGCTGTGGCAAGACTGGTCCAAAAGATTACCTTTTACCACCGTATAGCTGTTATAATCACAACGAAAAACTCAATGCGGATGGTTGCCGTCAGAAATTTTTGGATTACGTGTCTGACCGTTGGATATTCTTTAATATCTTTGTGCTTGTTTTGGTATTGGTTGAGGTAATTTAAGTAGACAGAATTAAAGTAAACTTGATTTAATGTTAAAATTTTGATTTACTTTTCAGCTCATCTGTGCAGCTTTCGCATACGTTTTGGCTAATAGCATTCTTAATCGCTGGCGTCGCTCAAAATATTATCCAAAATAAATAATTAAGTTATTATTTCTAAAACGAATACATTTAAATTAATTTGTAATTTACACCAAAGAATTCTCAATACTGTGCAAATAACTGATATAAATATCTGTAAAATATTTGCTAGTCTACCTCATAAGTTCAGTAGTTCTGTCTTATAAAAAGTGTCCAAAATGTGCCAAAACTCGTGTTCAACATTCAAAAATTCATTAAACAGGATTAAAAACTATTCGAAAATTAGTTTTAAGTCGAATTTAAACGATTTTTGTATAATTTGTTCTAGCTCTAAGCAATATATGTATGTCTACAAAGATTTGATTAATTTATTTTTATTTAACAATTTGTTAAGAAACTTCAGATTTTTGTATTTAATTGATATTGATTTATATTAATTTTACAATTCAGTTTCTACTTCATTAACATTTAATTTAAAAACACTTAAGTTTAAATACAAAATGGTTAATATGCATTTTCGATAAAAGCCTACCTGCTTTTAAAATATATACATACATATATACTCAAATATAAACGTTAAGATTTTTATATAAACAATTTTTCAATATTGCAATTCTTATATATAATATATTATTATGTTAAACATGTTTTAGACAATATTAAATGAACTTGTTAAATGTATTTATAATAACATTAAATTTAAGAATTTAAATAAATCGTTACATTTTTATAATTATTAACTCTAAAAAAAGTTGTCTTAATTTTAATTATGTTACAATTACCAACAAAAGATATTTGTTCAAATATTTTTCGTATAATATACAATATATATAAGAATTAATCAATGCAATTGTTAATTTAATTTTTTTTTTTTGGTTTTATTTATTTAAAACAAAAAAAAATTTAAATAAATCACTAAACAATACTAATTAATATAAAAATTGTTATTTAAATTATTTTTATAATAAATATATAACTACTAATTTGTTTGTGAATAATTACAATCATACTTGTCGTATTTGCAACTTAAATTGTCATCCAATTAAAAGCTATATGTAAATATAAGTATGTATAAATTTTTAAGACTTATAATCGACATTTGCTATATGCTATATGTATGCTAGTATAGTTATATGGCTTTTACTGTGCATTACCGATCTGCTGTGTTATCAAATATTTGTTGATTAATACAAAAAAAATAGGAAAACCGGTATAAATTCTGATACACTCTCTTAAAAGTGGCTTTTTCTCTAAACAACTAATAGCATGTTTTCACTGCTTAGTTAGTTAGTGTAACTTACACTAACTATTCTTTCTAACAAAGAAGTTACTAAATTAATATTCACTCTTCCATGAAAGGACTACAGAAGAGTGACGTGATGGATTTGGGGGAAAACAATAGTTGCGGGAAATGCTTGGAACAAAGAAAACTGCAGAAAAGGTAGTTTGTACATGACTGATTTTGTCAAAGGCATTAATAAGATATTTTGTTATAGACAAATGTTACAAACTTAATCATATAATCACATGTGGTACAATTACAACTAAAGAGATTTAAATATTTTCTACTCTCCAGACAGATAAGTAGTATGTAGACATAGTACTGTTCAGGCAGTAGGTAATCGGATCTTCTTGGTACTGTCCACAGTTCGCTTTTTCGCTAGATTTATAATTCTATCAATAACATTTTCAAACGTTATCGCCAATAACCTGAAAGTCTTTGCGTGTCATTTTGATATCAACCATATCACTATTATCTATTAAGAATCACAAAATGTTCCAAGCTTTAATTGATTAGTACAAAGACTGAAAGTTTATTGTATTTACTAGTTCATAAACACACATTCAAGCCGAAAGAATAGACAGGACTAAGAGTTTGACTATTTGATTGATTTAATTTTATATACACTGAAGTTTGATATAACCCACTGTAATGGTATATTGACTTCAGTGCACGTACTATTTTTTAATGATTCACCTTTCCTTACAACTTATCCATTCAATAACTTACTGCATACAATCTTTTTAATTTATATAAAATGTTTTAAAAAATCTATTGGGCCTATTTACACTATCATGAACGTGAGATGAGCTTCACGACAAAATGAACTGTTAGTTCAGTATAAAATGCTTGTGTGGAGTAGTGCAGAGCATAGAAATAGAGAATATTCATAACATTGCATATGTATGCGTGTCAAGTTGAGAAAACGCAGCAAATATCATTGCGTGAAATTCATGAACTTAATTCATACTCTCTTTCCTCTCTCATCTATAAGTAACCGGTTTTCAAGTTCATGTTCACGTTACGTTCATGTTAGTAATTTTAAGAGTAAAAAGATGGATATATTTAAGCCGAATTGTCTTGTCAAGACTATAAAAATAATTGATTTGTTATGGGTGGTTGTTTGGTTGCAGTGGCAGTTATACAATGGATAACTTCTATGTACCTCAAATAGCAATTTTTCGCTGTTTTGGTACCACATTACACGCAAGAACTCCTAGTATAAAGACTAAATCTATCCCGTTGAATTCAGATGATTTAATAGTTATATCGCCTTCACCGATGAACAGTCTGATAGACTGTCAAAGAAATATCTTCCTAAAAATCGATATCTTCTGAACGCCAGGACCGGGCATTTACAGAGAAAATGTGTAACGATTTTTTTTTCTGCGGATTTCCACAACTTCTGCAGTGAAGATTATAAGGAATACACAGTTTTTCTGCGAAGGTTTCTATACACCAATGACCAGAGAAAACTGCAGTATGCTTTGCAGTGTTTGATGAGTTCAGAGGATCTAATTTTATTATAAGTGGGCCATGATAACCTGGTAGTTGCATATGGCTTAAGTGTTTTCCATCTGTTATTGGCAAGTTAAAGAAAGTATAGATAAGTCTTAATGGCCTCTAGGGTGATATACACCGATACCGTTAGGGACACATCCAGGAAAGCACCGGAGCGGGCGAAACTGTCAGCGTTTTCGTTCCCTTCGATATTCCTATGTCCAGGAACGCAGATAAGGGTAATGTTAGTCAACCGATTTAGCTCACCGATTACCTCTTGATCTACCTTGATTTATTATACTCCGTTGTCTTTTTCACCGTATTCATGTATAATATCATAGGAAAATGTATGTAAGCATTCTTTCCAAATATTCAGTTCAAATATTTTAATTTTTTTGTCCATAACGAAGTTGAAATTCGTATAAACAATTTAATTTAGAAATTTATAAATTAATTTCTCAAAAAAGAAATAAATTTTCTCGTAGGTTTCAGGTAACATTAGAAGTTTGATTTCAAATTAAATTTTTTAATGATGACATATGTAGAACTATCTGTCTATCTTAAACTCATTTATAAATTTTATTCTGTGTTCCACCTTAAGCCAGTAGATTGAAGTCAAACCATAAAATATATTGTCTATGGATGGTACGAGAATTTTGAACATAAACGTTTGAGTTTCCCTGCCATGCAAACAGATTTGTTTCAATTTCGGATGTAATATGTAAGTTTTTATTACAACAAAATGCTCTTGAGTTTGCTTTATTTGGTTTTTTTTCGTTAATTAACATATGTTCACATGTAATTTTTATGGACCTGGCCGCAGTTTCCGATGGTTATGACTGCATGAGCCAATTCAGTGATGCGCCATCGCGTCTTGTAGTTGTCGTCGTTTTCCAATTCGGCGTAGGAGATGAATTTCAACAATTTTCATTTTGAAAACTTTTGACTTTTTTCTCTTTCTTCCTTTTTTTCTTATTCATTTTCTTATTTGTTTTTGCTTTTGTTTTTGTTTTTATGTCTTTTTGACTTATATTGCATTTTGTATTATGGCCAAGCAAACATAATCATGAAAATATTGTCAGTATTAATGACGTTATTGCTCTTGTTCTAGTGGTATTGATGTTGTTGTTGTTGTTGTTGTTGTTGTTGCTATTGCTATTGCTGTTGTTGTTTTGGTTAATAAAAACAAAAGCTGAATATTTATTTCCCCATAATTTTATGTCGTCTATTGGCTATGCCCAAGGTACAATTTTACCGCTTTGACTGTGGCATTTCAGTTTTAAAACGTGCCTCGAATTGTTGTGGAGGTGCCACGACAAATGATTTTTTATTTTTCAATTTGTTTTGATATCGAAAAGTTTTGCGGTCAAATTGCGAAATTTTGTGGTGTAAACGCCGCCAATTAAATTAGTGCAAGAACAAATTTGTTACAAATTAAATTAAAAAAAAAAATTTATTTATATATAATATTAAATTTATAATATTATATCTATAATAATGTAATTACAATATAATAAAGCATAAATCAAAAATAATTTTGTAAAATTCTATAAACAATTAAAACATAATAATTATATAAAACATTTATATAAAATTAAAGTGTTTAGTATAAAATATTCATATATATATATGTATAAAAATAGTAAAATTTAAAATTAAAGTTTTTTAATTGCATAAAAAATAAAATGTATTGTTCAACAAAAATTTTAAAATTAATTCTATATATTTTTAATTTTCTTTGCGCAGTAAGTATACATTTTGTTTATAAATTGTAATGAAAATTGCACATAAATTATATACATATGTACATCGCATTTATATAGAAGAATATAGAGAAAAACTAGATCAGAAGAAGATATTGTATCATTTTTATTATCGTCTATTAGTCTTCTCAACAAATTCGTTTGTATGTCAAATGACATAAATTAGTCACATCAATCGTCACATTTTAAAAATAAATTTTCTCAACTAATTTATTTATTAATACTTTGTTTTTTAGTTTTAGGAACATAATTTTTAGTTTTTCGCAACTTGTTGGCATAGTAAAAAATTTTGTTTTTGCTTTCGTGAAAACATGATTTATTTTTTTTTTTGAATTTTTGGTTTGTTTAATTTAATTTTTGTTTTTTATTTGTTGCATATTAATTTTGTTTATGCACACAAAAATCTTTGCAAGAAAAGCTTGCCATTGAACTTTAGGAACTTACCAAAAGCTTTGTGTTCTACATTCCACAATCCACATTCGTTAGAAATTTTGTTTACAATAATTTTATTAATAAATTGAAGTCATGCTGGCTTATCAAAATGTTACTTTACATTTTTATATATGAAAAAATACAATTATTCACAGTTAATATTATTATTATGACATGTTCTTCATTTATAAAAATTAGATTTAGATCTTAGTCTATTCACAGATAATTATTAAAAATTTTTCCAGTCGTCTCTGGTTTTAGCAGCGAAACGTAGCTGGTTAAAGGATTTGTTCGTTTCAGTTGCCACTGTTCTCCGCTAAGTGGTTCTGGGACGGTGAACTAACTGAAAGGAACATTCTTTACTAATAATAGGATCCAAACCCATTTTCATCATGGACAGAGTAGTATAGAAAGTAATGCTAGCAGGTCAAGAAAAACAGAAGATATAAAAATTTTTTCAAGTCTTACAGGTTTAATACAATCTAAATTAATACTAGATTACTACAAAAGCAAATGCAATAAATTTTGTGTTGGTTCATCCAAGAACAGATGTTAATTAGTTAACTATTTAATGTTAATTAGAATATTGATCGCGGACATGATAGAGTTAAGAACACATGAGCTGCATAGGTGTTGCATTAAGCGGTATCAGCAAATTCTGTGATAATGTATTTAAAAACTTCACTTCAGAAAGTGAAGGTATGTATGATAAATGAAGAAATCAGGTAGTGTTGATATACATCAAAATAGTAAGGAATTGCAGGGTTTATAAATTGGTTAGACAGAATACTAATCTTCCCCTAAAAGCAAAATGAATTGAGATTGGAATAGCTTTCGCCACTTGTAAGTTATTTTTGTTAGTTAACTTGAATAGTTTTCTTCAAGAAGAGAATAGGTCTTGGGAAAATGAAGATACATATATAATATCTAAGCTAATGTGGGCGATATTTGATAACAAAAATTCAAATTAGCCATATAAGAACAGACAATCTTAAAGTCGTAGCTTATATAAACGGTTGCTGATTATTTGGGATGCATGCGCTCAGGCTCAGGTTAAGAGCCTTCCTTAATGAATATTGCAGTCGTTGTAAAGATAAGGCGGAAGAAGAAACATGTCTTAAGATCTCTCATCATCCAGCAATTTATAAGAGTCCCTCAATTGTGCCATAAGTAATACAGTCCCGTGTTGAATAGTACCTGTAGGGTCTAAATAGTTGGTCAAATACTATAATAACATAACCTAACATATGATGAAATGAAAAAACTAAATAACAAGAGAAATGTTACTGCTCTCCTGACTCTTTAATATCATTTATGGTTGTGTTTTTTTTCATCTAAAGTTAAGTGTCACTCTTATAGAAAGAAATGTAGTGTGATATTGATATTATGATAGGAATTAATGAGGAATGTAGTTAAGTGGCGCCCACATTGTTTTTTGGATCGATATCCCGAAGCTGTTGGTTTGTTACATTAATCAAGAGGTACTGATACGCCAAAGCTTTTGCTTTGTTATAATAATCAATATTTCATTCAGAGTTCTATCAAGTATAGTTGGAGTTTCAGACATGGCCTCAGAATATCACTCATTATTATTTTATCATCGCTGTTCTTGATGTTAATGTCTGAACTTAATAAAATAATCTAAAGATAATGATGTGTATAACTATTTATAACCATTAATTCAAAAAGCTTATTTCCTTATCTTGAGGTAGCTATTAAATAAATTATTTAATTCCGATATTTCTGATATTATAATTTGATAGACAGATTTTTTATATCTACAAATATCATTTTATTTCACAGCTGTTTGGTGTCATATTGATTTGGTTTGGCGTATGGCTCTGTAATACCGTAAATGGAGAGAATGAGAGAACTATTGATCTTGGCGAAAATCTACTTGGAGCTTTAATCATTTTGTTAGGAGTTGTAGTTTTCCTAATTTCTATTTTTGGTTTTGTTGGCATTTACATGAAATCCAGAAAAATGCTAATATGTGTAAGGAAATATTTAAATCTATTTTTTTTAAATTTTAATATTAAACTTTTGTTGAAGTTTGCTGTTATAATGGTTTTGTTGCTGATAATACAACTTGTGCTCCTAAGTTTGAGTTACACAGCAGCGAGTGAAGGAATGCCATCAGAACTGAAGCAGGGCTTTGATGAGTTATGGGATAAACATGATTTTGATAACAGCACTTTATCAAGCTATGAACAATGGGTAAGAAGTATCTCTATTGACAAAAAATATTATTGCAATAATAAAGTTATTTAAATTATCTCTCTGAGTTAGCTGCAATGTTGTGGAAAAAATAGTGCGGAAGATTACATTTTATTAGATAAATTTCCTCCGTCAAGCTGCTGTAAGGACCGGGACTGCACTAATATAATGAATTTATATGTGGTTGGGTGTGAAAGGAAATTTAGGGATTACGTTAAAGAAAAAACACGAAACTTCAATATAATCAGTTGGTTACTCATACTGATAGAGGTAGGGTTATCCATACTTCTTTGATATAAAAAACAAATTTATTTATTTTTTTTACATTATAGTTTATCGCTTCTGTATGTACTTGTGTGCTGGCGGATAGTATTCGAAATCATATAGATCGAATAAGATTTTATAACTAAACTTTATAGCTGCGAAGATTTACAAAAAGTATTTTAAATTTGATAATTGTGTTAATAATTATGTACACATAATTGCATATAATAATATAATGTAATACTTATAGTTTGTATATACTGTTTAGTTTTAGATCTTAAATGTATATAAAAATATTCGTGTATATTTGTATAAAAAGATTAACTATTAATAAAAACGCAATTGCTAGATATTTGAATATTTTAACAACTAAATTCAGATATTGTTCTTATAATGACTGAAAAATTTTTAACTTAATATATATTCTTCACATAAGGTAATAATGATGTCAGACTTAAAATGTCAAGAGAACGTTGTTGGAAATGAAGTGCACATGAAAACCCAATACAAGAAAAGGTTAAAGCAGATCCCTAAAAATATATTAGTTGTCTTCTCTACTAACTAATTTATTTAAAAGATTCAAATTGAAATAACTTTTAGGATAATGGCATTTCTAATGAATAGATTGTGTGTCTTAAATTCTATGGCAAACACTTCAATCATTGAAGGTTATGTTATGTTACATATAGCGTTAAGCATCTAGGCTATATACAACAGATCGACCCTAGTCGCGCTACACCTTGACCTCTAAAAACCTCTAAAAACTACTCTTTATGCTTAGTACTTTTAAATTTTGGTAGAGTCCAGAGTTTCTTGCAGCAAAGATTACATGAAGTCATAGCAACGCTAACTAAGCGGTGAAACGTTTATCTACCAAGAGTAGAGCGTTCCTGTGCTCTGAGTTTTCCAAAAAAATTTCACAACCAACAGATATCAGCGTCGGAGAAATGGAACTAATGTACATTGTATCTTATGCTGTAATTTGTGTAGTGATCAAATCAAAACTGTAAATTCAACCTGCTCAATAAATATATATTATTTGGTGCTCCATTGGCTGAGATGAAGAATTATTTAAGTTGTTGTTAGCTTTCACTATTCCTTGGGGATCAACTATTCCTAAAATTGACGCCTATAATATATAAAGTATAGGGTGAAAATATTCGTTCAATATGCAGTTTCTTGATTGTGACACTTTTTTACGCAGCTATATTATAGCCATAAAAAATCGAACGGAAAAATATTGGTCAGAAAACTTGTTCGAAAATGACGTTAATAACGCCCGCACGCTCTAACAGGCGTAATTCATCAGCAAGTGTCGAACTTGAAAAATTAACAGAGACAAGAACAAAAACAAAAACAAAAGCAAAAGCAAAAACAATAGCAAAAACAAAAACACAATAAATAAGAAAATGGATTTATTAAGAGATTCAACAGAAAACGAGCAGCTAAAATAAATGTAGGAGGCAGCAAAAGTAGCGCAAGATCAGCACGACTGCAAATAAACAATTCGCTGAGATGAAAAATCAAAACAAAATCTAAAAAAGAATCTTTAAGATACAAAGTTTTGATTATTTTGTGTATTTTTGTTAAAATGTTTCAGTTTACTTTCGCAGGTGTTACGTTACGGACAACAAAAGTTGTTTAATTTATGAAATTTATTTTTTATGCAAAATACTGCACTTCGTGATACTTTCGCGCACTAAAAAGGCAACTTCCAGTACAAGTCGGGCGGTCAGACAAGAAAAGTTGCTGTGCCTTTATTCCAATGAAAAACATATTAATAATAAATTTTAAATATTTTTGAAAATAAATTCGAGGGTACTTAAAAGAAAAATTACATCATCTGCTTTCTTCTTAGCAGTTTTGTTTTAAAAACAATAAAAGTTGTTTTAGTGAATCATTAGAAAATTTTCTGAAAAATTTTGCATCTATTATGGGCTTAACTACAGCAACAACGAAGCACATTTTACTACTACTTAATTTTATATTTACTGTGAGTATTATTGGTATATTAATAATTTTTAATAAATTTGCCAATTTAATTTTAATTAAAAGCACATTGTTACAATTTATTTATATTATTTAAAAATATTTATGGAACACTAAGTTGTCACCATATATCCGAAAATGCTATTGCATTAGTTCAGGTGATTCTAATAAACTTAACAATATAGCCAGTTCTTACATGATAATACTATATATATATATATTAATATATATATACCATATATATAGAAAACTGTTCCATTTAATTTTTTGTTAAAATGTTATATTATGTGATTCATTCAAAATACTTTTTATGAGAAATGGACGTGACAGTAGACACAAATGATCCATTTTTCACAAGAAAAATTTTATAAATAAAATTAATAATTATATGCATAAAAAATTTCAGATTAACAGACCATAACTCTATACTTTTTGTATCTAGATGTTACAATTTTCAAAGAGACTTATTTGGTTGACCTATGTTCTTATAACCAGTACTATGAATACGCTACTAAATCTAGCTTTTTTGAAGAGTTTAGACATTCTAAATTTTTCTTTATTTGATCTATTTGATTATGATATTAATATAAAGATTCTTTATGAAGAATGTCGTCCTTAGGGTTATATGGTTACCTTATAAATACCTGTCTTTTTGAAGGCGACGCTACTATATACAAAAGCTGGATAGACAATTTATTTTTATGAAGAGGAATAGAAACTGATTCAGAGCTCGAGACGAGCTTTCTCAGTCTCGATGTGGTGTTTCCAAATCAACTTCTATTTGATACCAGTATTGTAAAGTCCATTCAATATTAGCATTGTTAACTCATAACACCTTAAGATTCTGTTGATTGCTTTTGTGTTTTCATCAAGAAATTTAATCTTCCATTTAAAAAAGTATTTGACCAGCTTAAAAAACTTAGTTGCATTCACAACAGATTACATGACTATAGATCCAGTCTTTATGTTGGAACGCATAAATGAGGTAGTACTATTTTCAGTTATAATGGGAAATAAAAGCATTAGTTCGCGGATAAATAAGAGGTATGGATTGCTTTAACCTCATTTTATTTGACTGAAGAAAAGAATGCCAAATCTCTATTTACTAAAAATATAACAAATTGTTGGAGGGAATGTTTAAAATAAAAAATTTAATTTTGAATCAGCCGAATGCTTAGTCCGTCCATAAAGTGGTTTTGGATACAATCAAAAATGTATAACTACTGGTCTTTGAAATATCTATTTTTTTTATTTTTAATAGTTGTTGATATAATCTTAATTCTCTCTAATCTCGTAATTACAAGTCAATCTACAATATTATAAATACAATTCCATTATTTATTATAATAAGCAAAAATAGTTATAGTCGGTAGAAGCCATTTAATTTTTTTCATTATAAATATTAATACTATGTGAAGATATTATTGATTTATATGCAATCATTATATATCAGATATTGTTACAAATTTAGAGGTAAAAATAATTAAGTATTTAAAAAAAACAAATGTTATATATATATATATACTTACAATATATACTTTTATGTATCTATACTTCTATATTTTCTATATTTAAATTACTTTAAAAATTAAATTTTTCCAGGTGTTAGCATTAATTTTAATTGGTTTTGGAATTTTTATATTGGTAAGTGGGGCAGATAACAAAGTCGATCATGGAGAGAATTTGGCGGGAGGACTCATAATCGCACTCGGTATAATTATATTAGTGATTTCAATATTCGGTTGTATAGCAGCAATACATGAATCGAAGAGAAAACTTATAGTTGTGAGTATCAAATTTTTTTTAGATAAAGAAAATACTTGTATCATTTATACAAGTATTTGAAGTACAACAAGTTAATGTTTTAAACTATAAAATTAAATTTTTATTTTTATTTTTATTTTATTTTATTGCAAATGTTTTTTAAGTATATCTGCATATTAGTTGTTATAATACTGATACAACTTGCGATGGCTGGTATGGCTTCACAGGGCACAAGAGATGGTTTGTCGGGTAGTGTGAAAGAAGGTTTTGACACTTTATGGAAAATTGAGGAAGGCTCAGTTCATGAGAATACTGATGCTTTAGCGTATTACGAAGACTGGGTAAGTAACTAATCAATAAATAATAATTTTTATATAAGATACAATGCGAAGTTGTTTATTCTGCAGTTGCAATGTTGTGGAGTGAACAACACTGACGACTATCGCCGGATTAAACATGCCATACCGAAAACTTGCTGTGTGGCACATAATTGCAGTGTTGCCAGTAACATCTATACCCTTGGCTGTCAAGAGAAATTCGAAGAATACTTAGCCGGAAAAATGCTGATGTTCTCAATTGTTAGTTGGTTTATGATTATAGCAGAAGTAAGTAGAAGTAAGAGTTTCTTTAAATAGTTTTTACTTTACATCTATTTCATTTTAATCTTAGATAATTGGAGCAGTATTTGCTTGGATGTTATATAGCAGCATTAAGAATCAAAGTCGGCGAGCAAATGTCGGTTGGATGTAGGATGTTTTAGTGACTATCAATGTATTCCAAAATTATTATTTTGTATTTAATTGTTATTGATTTTTTATTTAAATTGTTTGTTATTATTTTGTGTACTGACTTATGAAGTTATGTTAATATAATAATAATTAATACATTGTAATATATTATATATCATATATAAAATTATAGTCAGAATTTTATTATAAGTATTATTAACTCGTGTGTTTTGATAATCAAAATTGAAAAATATGCATACTGATTTTTTTTGTCTAAAAATGATTCAAATTCGTCTTAATTTAATAATTTTAACAATTGTCCCAAATATAGTTAATACTATTAAACTTTTTCAGCTTTATATAATACATTTCCTCTGACCAAAAAATGCATTTTAATCTTATTGCACAAAGTAATTATATTAATTATATTAATAATAAATGGTAAAATTAGAAACATATATTAATTTTTAATTTACATATTTTATAGTTTATTAATAAATTAACTATTCTAAAAAAACGTTTATTCTTCAATTATATTTAATAAATGAAGCCTTCGCAGGTTAAGAATATTTGGCGGTAGTGGCATCTGTTACAGTGTCTGTTCAAATAGATCAAGTCGCAGGTTAAATTTATTTGGCAATATTAGAATTTGTTATAGGGCATGTCAACAGACATAATGTCAGCCTTAAAGTTATAACTATTTAATTTATATATTGCATTTTAACTGTTAAATTCAACATGAAATCTAGTATTAAACGAATAGTTTTCAGTTTAATAGCTTTGGACGAAATTATTTAAATTCTCCTTAGTGCTTTCTTAACATAGCCTGTTATACCTATTCACCTATTTTTTACGATGGCTATAAAATAAATATTTTATGTATTCTACCACCCTAACTATATAGACTGGGCAGTTAAAAATTATTACGATTTTTCGAAGTAATTGAAGTATGTGAACAATAACCTGAAGTTAGTTATCGTTTACATTAAGTATTTATTTTATAGCCATCATAAAAATAGGAAAATAGCTATAATAGTTGATAAATAATTTTAGTTGTTTATGAAAATGAAAAAACAAAATACAGTAACTAAAATTAATTCCTTAACTTACTTTTATCGAAAGAAGTCAAAAAGTATGAAGTTGATTTCCTACTCTGAGGAGCTGGACAACTTATGAAAGTGAATTAACAAGAGACATAGTTTCGAGATGAAATTATACAAACTTTAACGTTCAGTAGGATTGATACTTTAGATTAAAAATCATTTTTTAAAGTATATATTTTAAATTTAGTTTATTACAAATTTATAAAAATTAATTCATAAGGATTAAAACACAGGATATGCCGGAAAGCACCATGATGTAAACGCCAGCGACATTTAAATCATGGAAATTTTTATAACAGGTAAGATACATTTCAATATTATTAAATAATGTAAGCTAGAATACCCGCTGCTTTTCAATGACGGTTAAAAATATAATAAATCAGTTTCATTTGATTTGAATAAAAAAAATGTTTTTTTTTTAAATATAATGTAAATTAAATCCGAATTTTATGTGAGAATTTGCAACAGCTAAAAGCTTGTGGACCGACTTCTGATGTCAGAGTTGAAAGATTTGTTGAATAATTGAATAAAATACAGAAAATGCTATTAAATATTGGTCACGTACAAAGCATTATAGATTTCTGAATCGTTTTATATGATCTTACAGATAAAATATAACACCTGGTTTCTAGTATTTTCTCATCCATTTCAAGCTTCTCGGATAGCCAAGCTGCTATTAAATAACTGATAGATACTTAAATCACATCAATTATAACTCAAGACTACCGTGCTTCTCTCAGTGACCTAGCTAGGCTTGTTAATATTAAACTCATTTGGGTTCCTGACCACAGGGATATCGCGGGCAGTTGTAGAGCCGATGAGCTTGCCAAGGCAGAGGCTCTTCACTCTGACATTTACTTTAACTGAATTTCAAGTTGTGCCTCTTTTGAAGAAGGTGTGCGATATATATTTTTATATGCAACGTGCAATGTAATTTTAAAAAACAAAAATGGCTATAATATTAAAAAGTCTTAAAGTAATTAATTGCACTAAAATTGACATACAGCAAGTGCTTGCTAATAGCACGAAAACTGAACCAAACAATTTTCACATTATGCTAAAAAAAATAATATCATATATGATCATAAAATATTAAATAATTAAAATAAATTTAAACGTTTGTTCAAATTAAAGATTTCGTGAAACAAATATTTATATCATTTATTATCTATATACACATATAGTAAAATATGAATACAAAGAAATTGAACTTGAACAGATTTTTGAGTAATAAAGTATGATCGCTATGTCTGCGTTACATTTCCTTTTGTTTATAAAAAAATTTGATTTTCTTTAATGCAAAATTTAAATTTTTTTAAACAATTTTGTTGTTGTGTTCCCTTTATCGCTGTCTTTTTATTCGAATTCTTTTGTTTCTTATTTTTTATGAGATGAAATCCACAAGCGGTTGTAGCTTGATAATTCCGAAAGACTCAGTCTCATTCGTAGTCTCATTCGTATGCTCGAGGTAATGTAGTGAAAAACGGTTTCTAGAGAATTGTGCCGAAATAAAATTCCTTAAAATTTTTTTCTTGCCAATTTGTGTATAAAATGTGGCTATAAACAAAGACGCTATTTTCCACGAACACGCAGCTTTAGTCTTTCCTCCGTAGGTGCGTGCATTGTGTTTTTGTATAGCAGCGAGAAAATTTCAGAAATAAAAATACATATTCATATAAACAATATATATAAATTAAAAAAAATTTAAAAAAAAATACTATATACTTGTGATTGAGAACGTTTAATCAATTAATTAATATATTGAAAATAAATTATAATATCTCGGTAATCTCAGTTACAGTGTAGTGCCCGATTTCAAGTACATAAGAGATTCCCTTTTGTTGGAAAATTTGTAAAGAAAAGCAATGGAAATGTCATTCTCCCATACTTTTTGGAAATATACGCTGTTAGGTTTCATTATTACTATTTCGGTGAGTATTTGACCAGATACATCTTCATTATGAACATGCATGCTTATTGTTAATTTTTTTTTTGTATCTGCCATATATCAAACGATCATAAATAAAAATTTATGAGTGCGAAAAATTCGTTGAGTAGAAAAAAAAGTAGAATTTTACAGTAATTAGCTTAATTTTAATTTATTTCATTCTAATTTCAACATAATTCAAAATTATTTCATTCGTCTACATGAAAGTATATCAAAATGAAACAATGTCAATGTTTTAAAATAATTTAAGTGGCAGTAAGAGCGAAAGCGGCCAGAACACTTTTTTCTATATTTATTATTTTTTTGCGGGCATGTCTGGTGAGATCTCTTGCTTTCGATGACTTTATGTTGCTTTTAAGATCTTCTTAATTTACAATCTTTTAACTATAATAATATATGTATTCGTAGTCGTTTTTATTATTGCATTTATTCATTGCAATACCTAAAATTAATAAAATACTTGAAAAAATAAATTCAATTTAATACCACTGTCTCTCAGTAGATTAGAAAACATCATTATGTCAAAAAAGGCTTATTTGAAGAAATTCGATGTTTTAAATCAAATAAATTTATCCTTATATAATTTGTAATCGATAATTTAATATTTTAATAATTTAATAATAATAATATAATATAATATAATTATAATACTTATAAAATCGTTCGCTATCATTATGTCAAAAAAGGCCTTTTTGAGATATACGACGTCTTAAGTCAAATAAATCTATCCATATATAATCTGTAATTTATAATTCAGTATTTTGATACTTCAATAATTTTTATAATTTAATAATAATAATATAATATAATAATAATATTTATAAACCTCGTCCACTGAAACAAATATACATATAATAGATCGATTTCAATATAAAACGTTGCATTCTATTACTAGTGCCTCAATTTTTATAAAGAAATTAACTAACGACGTACAACACAAATTAGCTTGATCGACTGATATCATTCGAACCCATAAACTTGCAGAATAAAATCGTATAACATATACTCAATTTACCTCAAAAGAACAGCCCGAAAGCTAAATTAATTTGCATTAAAAATATAAATAATATTTGTTTTATACTAATTTTATTATAATTATTATTAAATTTATGAATTTCTATTTTTTATAATAGAAAGAGTCCTCTTCAAATTGATATATAATTCCTTATTCAATCTTGATGTTTTTGACTTTTAAAAGAGTTCTAAATTGACAATCTAATGATAATCTTTAAATAATAATATCCAGAGATGAGATCACCTCAAGGTTATTAGTTTACTATACAATGAGATTAGAGTTCAGTTATATCTTGTACCTCTGGTAGGCATAACTCTTAGCAATTTTGTCATTTCCTACATATTATATTAATATTAATCTCATTTTATATATTTATTATTGATAGTTGATTAGAGTTCGTATATAATAGCACTCTTACTCTATTTTGTGATTGGACCTGTTACTGTTTCACTAGGGATATTAATGTTTATGTGTATTAAGCAGGTAATCCAGCTGTCACTATGCGAAGATTAACGTATCCAATTAAGATTGTTGGATTTTCTGTTATAAAAGAATAATTTACCTATCTTTCATGGAATATTCTAACATATATAGAATATTTTTTAATTTCTTAGTTTATATTAATTAGTACAGATACGTTAATCTTGATCATAGAATTTCTACTTTCGACTGAATTTTGTATAATTGGTTCACAGATTGGTTTAAAACACTAAATTAGAATATTTCAAGCAAAGGAATATTCAGTAAGTTATATTGAAACTAAAAAATAAGGCATCAATCTGTTTATGTGTTTAAATCTGTTCAAAAAACTTATATATAAATAATGGATCTGTAACTCCAAATTTGTTTGGTTTATAAATATGAAATAAAGTGTAGAGTTATGCATTTCATGATCCTGATTCGACAGTACTGTTTTAGTGTAATAGCACTATGTTTTTATTTTAAGGTTTGTCATTTTATAAAATGGAACTGAAAGTGGTAAAATTGTAAAAATTTACTTTAAAAATAATGATGATACCCATTTTTCGCTTAATCGATATGCCAATACAGAAAATAGTCAAATACAGGGTAGTGTAAATCCATAAGTAACTGAACAAAGACTATATAGCATTCACAAAAAGTCACTATAAGCTGTGCGACTTCATTCAGAGGTATATTGAACCCAGGTCTTGCTATTTTTAAAATGACAAAGGTGTGATTCTGGTTTTTTCTTATTTTAAATGCACAGTACCGCAAGCGCTCTATTCTTATTCTATTTTGACTTTGTGGCCCGAAAAATTTTCTGGGCGTGTAATTTAACATTTGGGTGGTGTGAATTAGCTACCAAGATCATGCAATTTGATACCACTGGACTGGTTTTGTGGGGTTATGAAAAATTGTGTGTTTCAGCTAATAGTTTTAAAATTTTTAAAACGAACAATCTTCAAGTAACTATGTGTTGCTAAGTCATCGTCAGTTATCTCAAAAGGATCGAGTACTGTAAGATATTTCTTAAGGGATATATTAAATGATATTTTATTTAACATTAATAGTCGTATATGTATTAGTAACTTAATTTTATGTGTCAAAATATTAATCAATTAACTTTAATTAAATTCATAATTAGATATTATTTTAATGAAATATTATTTTTGCAGTTGGTCGATGTCGTCTTTATATCTATTGGTGTTGTTTCGCTTGGCGCCGTAGGATCGGTTATGGGTGCCTATATAGTTACTTCATTGGGTGCTATTATATTCACAATTAGTTTTGTTGGATGTTTTGCAGCACTTCGTGAATCTTATGTTCTCTCTTTTGTAGTAAGTTATATCTGACAAAATAATATATTTAAATGTACTTAAGTTATTCTAGAAAATTTTACTTTTCTTTTATATGGAATAAGTAATCAAATATTATAATATAATATAATACAAATACAATTATTATTTATTTATATTATTTTTATTATATTGTAATAATTATTTTTTAACACTAGAAATAATAATAAGAAATGTATTCATTTATATATTATATTTTTCAAGGTAGAACTATCATTAAGTTTTTATATAATTAAACTATCAGATATTATCAATTAATTTTAGTTTTTAGGACTTTCAATAGTTACAATAGTCCTGCAAATGGTTTTTATAATAGCGCTCGCAGTTTATAATGATGATTTGCTTGAAATGAGTGCTGAACGCATTGACGGTTTATGGGATGCCGAAACCGAAAAATCTGGTGCTATGGACAATATACATGTGATGGTAAGTTCATAGCTAAAAATTATATATGCATATAATTTCTTAAAATTATGTTTTAATATTTTTTAGTTTGGTTGCTGTGGCAAAGAAAGTCCACAAGATTTTCTTCAAGATGACGATGATGTGCTGCCCAAAAGTTGTTGTCAACTCTTTGACTGCACCAGTGCGGGTAATATCTATTCAAAAGGTTGTGTAGGAACTGTTGCAGAATATTTTGACGATCAAAATGATTACTTAGTTTTAATAATAATTGGTTTAACAGCTTTAGAGGTACATTTAGATTTGAATGATATAAACATTTTTATAAGTATTGGAATTTTTTAGTTAATGGGTATCGTATCTGCTTTCTATTTGGCTAGAAGTTTGCCAGCGAGTTCTCAAAAATCTGAACAAATAATTATTCACGAATAAATTGAACCGTAATATTAAATATTTTTATTACTTAATTTATTATTAACCAAGCCATTACTTATTATTTTCAACAATTATACAAAAACTAAAAACTTAAATAATTGATTTCACTTTATGGCTCAGTTAATAGTAAATAAATTATTTGATATATATTATAAAATCCTATATTGAATTTAATAAATAAATATTAATAAGATATTGTAATGTACGAATAACTAAAATGATGTTTTATGATGTCAAAAGTGATTTTTAAAATAGTTTATATTTTGTGATTCTTCATCAATTGAAAATCAAATAACGATTCTTACTAAAATTTAAAAAATCCAAAATCAGTTAGCAAAGTTACAAATTTATATTTCTATTATATATATGCAATTTTAGCTTAACTTATCCATCAATTTATCCATCCAACCACACCCAAATTGGATTACCGCACCACATTTAGCTGACATGACCAAAATTTAAATCCGATTTCTTATTTTAGGATCACAACTCTTTTTAAATACCTTTAATTTAAACCCAATTGCATCAACTATGTATACAGCAAAGAAATCAGTTTATTTTTAATAAATTTCATGGATTTTGTTTTAAGCTTTCATATTAAATTTGCAAAAAAGTTGCTGAATTATAACTTCTTAGCATAGTTAGTTAGTTGTGATGGAAGTCCTATTTACCAAATTCTATTCAACTAGCTAAGAAAGTCGTTTTGAATTCACAAATCGTCCTAATAATAGGTAGTAAAGAAAAGATCAAGTTAAAACCAGTCAGAGGCATTCATATAGACAAGAAACTGGCCAATGCTAAGGCTAGAGATATCGCTGAGTGTGTTGAAGAAGGAGACCCCCACAAACTAGTTCTGGACAAGCCTGGACATAGACACAGCAGGTGTTCTGGTGTCATTTCTTCGATAGCTGATAAATGCGCATCACAGGAGCTGTCACAGAGTTCAGTGCCCTGCAAAGTCAGATATTAATCTTGATATCTCTGATTTGTTTATGTGTAATAAGAGTACTGTATCCTGCAAAACGCATCATATAATTATATTGGCATCATGGCTTCTTCTTCTCTTCATAAGAAACGTACTCTTTAAGTAAGTTTTATAAATACTTTCTTTTTATATTTTTTTGTTTTTATGATATAGGTAAAGTCTTATATTATATTTTGAACACATTTCATGATATATAAAAAAAAGTATAAAAAATAATATAATCAGTATGAATTTATTTGTGATTTTATGTTAAAGTTTGAAACATTGTTTCAAAATTCATTTAAGTTTGCAGTTTCTCTAATTTTGTTGATTTATTTGAGTTAATAAGCTTGCACGAGTAGAAATCCAGAAATCAGTAAAGAAAGTATCTATATGGAATAAAATTAAATTTATTAATGTTAATTTTTTCTTGCCGAGAGTGACGCGTCTTTATGATGAAAAGAAATTTTTTAAAAGTTAGACGGATTCGAATAACAAAGTAAAGACAAAGACAAAATTTTTTAGTTAATTAACTGAAATTTGGCTGTTTCGAGAATTGCAAAATACTCATAATCAGTAGACGAATATTTCGTAAGAACACTGATGATGAGTACTTGGCAATACTCGAAACAGCGTTGTATGGTCAGTCAAATTTCAATAAATTAAATAAATTTTTGTCCTTGTCTTTTCTTTGCTATTCGAATCCGTCTGTTTTAAATTAATTAAATTAACATATTACGGAAAACAAGATTGCTAACTAACACAAAAAATTATCATCGATACGTAAAACGCTTCAAATATTAACAGAAGCGAGCCAAATTCTTTCGAATGCTCTTTTAAACAGCCCTTTTGATATTTTTCTCCGCCTTCTTTTTGTAGATTCTTAAAGCAAGAAGTACTCTCGGGTATGTTATTTTCTGTATAATCTTGTGGTCCAACTTTTCCACAGCACGCATACTGTACAAATAATCAAATTAAATTCAAGGATTTAATAAGTGAAACCAAATAAGATTAATTAAAAGACTTTTTACCTTAACTTCTATTGCTTGCATATTATGTGGTTTGCCTTTAAGTAATTCCTTCCATGCATTCTCTACCACTACTTTAGAATCCTCTTCTACTCTGTATGGCATTATACCAGTGATACATATAAACAAGGATACCAGACACATCACAAACATTGATGCAACAAACTTTAACAGGTCAAAATTAAAGTACATTTTTGTAAGTCATTGTAAACATTATAAATCATGAACTAAGCCTAACACTTACAAACCACATCACTGAATTACTTTCACGTATAAGTCCAACGATTCCGAGTTGTGCACATATGTATACAAGAACTCCGATTACAGCGACAGAACAGAAAACTTCTCTATGCATGTCTACCGTAACTGCATGGGTAACGGCTCCAACCGTAACAATAAATCCTAGCATCTAGATTAAAATTTTAATGCAAAAATAAATATTTATATATATTTTTAAGTAAAGAATATATTTATATGTGTTTTAATATAACGTTTAAAAAAATCATTAGTAATACACAAAATTTAAAATATTTAATTCCTTTGGACGTTGCAAAGAAGTGAAGAAGTAATTGCAAATCACGAAAGTAAGGTTTAAATATATATAGTAATGTAATTGCAATTGTAAAAATATTTTAAACAACTCACTCCACATATAGAAAGTACAATAATTATGATTATTATTAAACCACGTCTTCCAAAACACATTCTCCTTTATAAAGGATCTGGAGTTATATTTCGACAGCATTGACTCTAAAATATATTATAGATAAAGTCATTACAGTATATATACACTTAAATATTTTTTATTTAATTTTCCATAATTTAAATAATTTATAAAAAATAACAAATTACCATAACTTTTAAGTTTGAATTAAAACAACTAACTATTTTGATAGGTGAAGAGTAAACATTTTTTTGTTAAGTAAAAATAATAATAAAAATTTATTTTCTTCTACATTGAGGTTAGTAGAGTCAGTGCGCTTGATTATCTCTCTATTAACTGCAAATTTTCTTCATAACCCCTCCCTACGTCTTGGCCGGGTTATTGTTTATCATTTCGTCAGACTAAGTAATAACTGACCTCAGAACTGCATACCTCCCCAAGGAGCCTGTAACTATTCTGAGATTCAATAGCGCTGTGTTGGTAATCCTGTCAGTTTTTGTAAATAATTTCAGGGCTCTATGTATTTCATGTATTTTTTGATCTATTATTTGTGTTCAGAAAACAGAAAAAATTTGTTGCCTAATGAAAAAATCATAATAAACAATACCATTAGATTGACATTAAGAAAAAAAAACATTAAGAATTTAGGATTTAAATAAATCAATATCAAGGGTTAGCAATAATATTCCGAATAGCAAAAGTGAATTATGAATCATATTAAATCAATATTTATATTTTTAATGACAGCAAACAAAATAGCCATTATGTCACTTATAGCCATTATTTTCATAACATCTAAGCCTGCATTGGAATATTAAACATTTAAGCTTGATAACAATGGTCTGGCCGACAAATTGGCGAGAAGCAGCAATGTTATCGCATGTTGTAATCCATTAAGCTTCCAATTAAACTGACTACGAGTAGAACATTTTAAGATGGCAAACAAAATATGACGCAATTAACACACCTTTCTAACTATACGTATGACATGGTTCGTCTATGGTTAGAAAGATTCTGAGTATTTTGTATATCTTGCTTATCACTCAATATTCAACACCATAATAACCATAATAACAGGATATTATATTTTAATTGGTAGGAACGATGAATGATTTGAGGCTTCTTCCAAAGGATACTATTGTAGCTGCGGATTAGAAAAAGAAGAAGAATGTGTTTGTCCGATATCAGTAGTATAGACATTAAAGATAATGCTTGCTTCATTAAAATGAAAAATTGTTTCTCCATTTCAAAAAAACAGATATTTGAAAGCAGATTAAGCTTATCAGTATAAAGTGTAGTCCACTTTTGGGTCAACTGAACCAGTCCCTATACGCGACGGACTGAGACTTGTATCGTCGCTATATGAATGCAAGAGGCTATGAATTTTAAGATAGAAAAGTTTGTTGCATTATTATTATCAATTTTTTTTATAAAGTGTATCTCTTATAGCAAAGTTACCTGAATTCGCAGTGGTCGTATTGTTCAAAAAGTTCAAGAAGGTTTTTTAGTTGTAAAAAGGATGTGCTGAATTCTACTAGGAATTCCACTCATGTTATTTATACATATTGTTATACGTATTATATTTAAATATATTGTATTTAAAAAATGAGTTTAAAATAAAAAATCCAATGATCAACAAATTTGTGGATCCCATTTATATAGTTGTTTCCACAAAATTTCTGGTATTGAAAAGTTTTTTGGATGTTATTCATATGGATCATATTTAAGGTTTGTAGAGCCACTTATGAAATATTATTTTTGAAGTAATAGTTTTACTTAATATGTTTACCACTTTGATATGAATTTTCATTGCTTATAGATCTCTTTTTACAAGAAATTAAGGAAAAGGAAAAACTAATAATGTTAAATTATTACAAATTTTGCGAAATACACTGACATGTAATTTCAAATAGCTTGTAGTAAAAGATTTAATTGACCGATGAAAATAAAATATATCAATAATGAAATATTAAAGTGGTGTCAAAGTTTTAGTTCTACTCCGTATACCAGGAGCTGTTACAAAAAAATAGATGGCGTTCGGCCGTAGTCTCAATAGATGTAAGCTTGATTGGGCTCCAACAAAAATATAGAACCGACCTATAATAAATTGTACTTCATTGAGTGTTCTAATTTTTAATGGAACAAAAACTATGAAGACTATTTAATATATTTCGTGCACTCTGTTTGTAAACATAAACTTAAATAGTTCATCGAGTCTGCTAAATTGTACGATTTGAAGGAAAATTGCTTTAAACCCAACAACTTTTCGTCTTGAAAAGTATACTCGAATTATTTGAACAAAAATCGGTATAGCTGATTAATAATTTAAATTTAATTTAATCCAAAATGACAGTAAAGTTTTTATTGAGTATGAAAATATCCAGTGTTTTGGTAGTAATTAAAGATCGTCAGAGAGCCTCATTCGCAGGACACTGATAGTTCTAAAACTGCCAATGCGCTTCGTTTATTTATTATATATTCTAGTATTTTTTGAAACTGTTGAAATCATTAGAAATAATTTCGTTCTAATATAGAAAAATGGCTTGGAAAATATTTGCTTTGAAATGTATCGTATCAGTGCTAAGCATTTTCATGGGAGTAAGTATTTCAAATATTATTATTCAAACAATTTTCTAAATTACATTATTGTAACATTATTTATTGTAATGCGCATATTTTTTTATTGTTCTAACTAGATTACAGCCCTAAGTGAAATTATTTTCGCTACAAAAAGCATTAGTGCATACCCGACGACTGTGGCTTATATCATGTTTTTTGCAGGTATCATCACCTTTGGTGTATCCTGTTTTGGTATATGCGGTGTTTGTAACAAAAGTTTTTGCTTGATGTCAACGGTAAATTGAGTTAATCCTTTTTATTTTTAAATTATGTTTAATATTTAAATAGTTTACAGTTGCTTTATGCATAATGATAATAATGCAGCTAATAAATATAGCGCTGTTAATGATGGGTTATAATTTTGATACCCTAGCGGAAAAAGCTATTAAATCTCTTTGGGAGCAGGAAATTACAGCACCTGGAGCCATGGATGTACCGCAGACGATGGTTAGTAATAAAATATTATTAGTATGACGTTTCTGCTTTGGTAGCACTATATCAGTGATATCTTTCATAGAGACATATATTAATTGATCGCTTAACGTTTTGCTGAACGTGTCAAAATTGTGACCACTTATTACTTTTTCGTATCGAATTTCGTTCGTAAACATGATTGACACATTTGGAGTGGTGAAAGTCTACAATTTCACAATAAACTAACAAAAGATAGATAGCTTTGCATTCACCAAAACTCATTTGAATTAAAAAAATAATAGGCAACATGATTGCAAACTTTGTTTTGGCATGAATTTAAAGATATGTATGTGGCAGATATTAACTTCTTAGATATAGGCGTTCTCCTTTCTACAGTTAAACTGGCAATTAAACAAAAATACTTGAGCATGGGCTGACGAACCTCAATGTCAGATTTCTAGGATGACTTGGTCTAATTTAGACAACAAAGAACTAGTCAGCTACTTCAACTAAGACGGAACCTGCTCAGCACTATGGTATTTGTGCTGACGGGACACTGTGTAATAGGAAGGCATGCTATGAGACTGGGTCTTCCCTTTAATGATATTTGTCGAGGTTGTGGCTCTGAGCACGAGGAGAAAACCGTACTCCATTTCATATCTCAGTGTCCTAGAAGAAGATTAAAAATCTTAGGATCCACTTTTCTCACCGATCTGACTGAGCTGTCATCCTGTAATGTTAGGGACCTAGCCAAGTTTATAAAACTGTCAGGTTGGTTTTTCTTTACCTAATAGGGGAGTCGTTACCTTCGTTCGCCGTTGAATGTATACTGAGCTAAATCTATATACATACCAAAGTCACTAATGTGGTACCACAATGGGCCATCATTTTAGCTCAAGTGGGCTTTTTAGGATACAAGGCCGCCACTCCAACCTACCTACCTATGTGACAGATGTGGTTTCAGCAGGACGTTACAAACTACATAACCAGTTGTTTTATGGGCTTTTCGCGTGAACAATTGTCCGACATGTGTAATTTCATGCTTTGGTAATGTGATTTGGTCCTAAAGTTCATGTGATTTCTTATCACTAAACCTATTTTTTTTGTTTCTTTGTGTGGTATCACAGAGGATCATACAAATTCTCAAATTATCGATGGTTTGAAAGTGAAAATTTGTAAACTGGCTGTCATCGAAAATTATTTTAAAAGAACACACTACTGTAGAATGGTTTGTTGAGAACATATAAATGATTTGTATTGCACATGTGATGACAAAGTCTACATAATGTATAAAAATGAAAAGCAGTATCTTGTTAAAATTTACTCTTGATAAGAACCAGAAAATAGATAACCCTATATATTTCAAGTTACAAAATCTTATTAATATCAATAAATATATCAAATGATAACTTTTACAGATAAATTATGCATTAATTGTTACTTTTTTACTTTAGTACAAATGCTGTGGTAAATACAGAAAAGAAGATTACTTAGAAATTATGCGTCCTATATCGAATAGTTGTCGTGTTAGTGAAGCAGTCGAGGATGTATATTATGAAAAAGGATGCATTGAAGCTATCCAAAACATTCATTATAATATAACTGGTCCGACTGATTTGAACGGGTGGTGTATATATACTTTATTTATATATGTAAATATTAAAAACTGTTATTATCGATGTCTTTTTTTTTTAAGTAGATTTCTTAAATAGTATGTCTTTATTTATTTAGGGAGTAATGTTTACTTTTGCTGCAATTTTGGCAATTATATTCCAAGACACTGAAGAGAACCTATATTTTGATATTTGAAAGAGAAATAAAGAATATTATTTGGTGCCGAATATTATCTAATTAACTAAACTATATGTATAGAAATTAACCGTGAGAACAATAAATTAAGATGAACATATACAAGAATATTTTAAAGTTTGTTTTATTGTTTAAATTTTATTTTTTTAAACAGTAAATGAATTATTCTACATAAACAAAGAAATATTCTACAAAAATCGAAATAAATTTTAATTATTTATTCTAAGAAATAACCACACCAGTCACTGATCAGTTGATCATTATGATCAGCTCAATGGAACTATAGAAATGCCAACAACATCAGAATATATGATACATGTATTGACGGGAACGTGAACACTAATAAGTGATATCTGGACGTACAAATGGGCAGCAGATTTAAACCACACTGGCACAATATTCTACAAAAGTGTGATGCTGCTTGCGTATGCCGATGATATTGATATCATTGCTCTGAACACCCGCTCCATCAGTGCGGCATTTTTAACATAGAAAAACAAGCAAAGCAAATAGGTCTTGTGGTAAATGAGGGCAAAACAAAGCACTTTTCTGTCAACAAATATAACTCCTGAGCGCCTTGAGATCCATGTTCGAAGTTGTGAAAGACTTCGTTTATTTAGGAAACAGCGTAAACACCAAAAATGACGTCAGCCTAGAGATTCAACAATCACTCTTGCCAACAGATGTTACTTCGGGCTATGTGGGCAGTTGAGAAATAAAGCCCTCTCTTGACAACCAAAAATCATGCTTTACAAATTTCTTATCATGCCTATCCTGCTGTATGGTGCAGACGCTTGGACAATTACCAACAGTGATGGGAAGGCATTAGGAGCATTCGAGAGAAAAATCGGAAATCTATGGTCCCTTCCGCGTTGGCGAGAAGTATCGCCTTAGGTGAAAGGATAAGATGTATGAGCTATACCGCGACATTGACATAGTTAAGCGCATAAAATTTTAGCGGCTGCGCTGGCTTGATCATGTCGTGCGAATGGAAGAAAGTACCCCGGCAAGAAAGGTGTTTGATTCGGTACCTGCAGTTGGAAAACACGGTAAAGGACGTCCGCATCTTCGGTGGAAGGACCAGGTGACCAATGATTTGGAGGCGTTCGGTACTACCAACTGGCGACAGCAAGCCACTAATCGGGTTGGTTGGCGGAGGCTTCTCGACACGACCAAGGACAACTCACGACTGTAATGGCCAAATAAGTTAGTAAGTAAGTAAGATAAGTTCAACGAAATATCGAAGTATTAAGTAGGCTTTTTTTATTTTTTTGGTTTGTAATGATAAAACTTTAACCCGCTAACGTATTTTCTTTACTGATGGTTGTATTCTAGCTAAGGCAGTATATTCGACAATACCCTTAATAAAACTCAGCCAGTTTGCAGACAGCCTGTTTTTATTTAACTGCTTTCGTATATAATATTTTCAAACTAAGGATGTCATCTTTGCTTCAATAAATTTTGAATAACTTTTGAAACAATTAAAAAAACTAAAATTACAAGAATTATATTCAAATATTTTAAATTGAATACTCATTTGGTGTTGCCATCAAAATGGAGATTTCAACACGCCGTTTGAAACTTCTTGCCATCTTGGGATACTTTTTAACAGGTGTAAGTATTGAAAATATAATTATTTGTGGTAAATTATAACGTAGTGTTCTCCTAATAGATTACAGGAGGGGTTATTATATATGGTAGTGAAAAGATGATAGTAGCAACTAAAACGCCTATACTTATTTTTATGGTGTGGTCTGGTCTTGTCCTAGTTATTGTAAGTCTAATTGGAATATATGGCGTGATAAAGATCAACTTTGGCTATACGGTTTTGGTGAGTAACAATATACGTAATTTCTATAATATTCAAAAATCTTAAAGTCAAAATGCTTACTTTAATAGTCAAGTTTCGCCCTGGTTGTGGTTTCAATTACACTAATCAATCACCTTATGTATGCAATTATAAAAGATCGAAGTGAGGTTGAATCGGATAGAAAAGTACTGAAGCTTTGGAACAGACATATGTTAATGGGAAGAGCTATGCATAAAATTCAAGATAGAGTTAATTAACTATATTATATTTATAATTAAGTTTTATAAAAAAGTGTATAAAAGTGTTTGACTTAATTTCATATTTTGTGTTCTTAGCTGGACTGTTGCGGCATATATGGATTTCAAGATTATATCCTTAATGACAAGCAAGTACCAGTTTCTTGTGTTTCAGAAGAACTGGTTTCATACATTTATAAGCAACTAGGCTGCAAGGAAGCTTCATTACGCGAATATTTGTTCTCTCGAAATTTTATTATATTCAGTGAATTTACTTCGTTACTGCTAAATGTAAGTATAGAAAATAATCAATACAAATAAAATATAACTTATATGTTAAAAAATTATTAAAATCTTTATTTAAATTTAGATGATTACGGCCGTGGCTGGTTTCAAATTATGTTCTCGCATAGACAGGGGTATATGATATTCATAAATCAAAAAATTGTTTATTTTTTCAAATTTTTATTCATAAATGAAACTTATAGTTATAAAATTTTTTTTTATATAAATTATATTAATAAACAAAACTGTTTTTTTTTATATTTTTATATATGTACATATATGCAAAATATTAGTATTAATGACATTATACTCCAAAAAAAAAAACTTCTTGTTACTGGTTTTAGGATACTTCCGATTGTTTGTGGAATGGTTTTAAATGTTATGCTTTAAATGTTTTGGATCCATATTTCGGATATTAGATGAATTTGAAAAAGCATAACAAATTTTAAAATTGATTCTCTAAAAACTTCTTAAAAACGTATTTTACTTTTTCAACATATTATTATTGTTAGGGGATGTGACACTGCGACCGTCGTGTCTATTGTGCCTCCTTCTGGGCTTAGAGTAGGTCTTTAAGCCCTGTTGCGTTAATAAAAAGTAGTAGAGAACCTACTTTACAGTGTTTTATTGCCATTTCCGTAGGAACATACATTCCTAGGAGCCTATTTCGTACGTGCATTAGCGCAGGGCATCATTTTATGATTCAACTGCCAATAAAACTGAATATTCAGAATCTATATTTTGCTGTATAAACTTCTTCATATCCATAACAAAAGTATTTTAGCTCACAACATCTTCAATATAAATTCTTTAGTTAGGTTATGTTACACTATGGTACTCAGTATAAACGTAAATAGGTGCTATAGTGATATAGACAGAGGAGAAATGATTAAATTTAGAGTTTTGATAACTGATAGCACCTAAAACACTATGTTCTAAAATTCTCAGAAATGAATATTTAATCTAACAAATTAATAAACGTTACATATTCAACATATTATTACGTTAAAGCTATTTGAGCCAGTGCACTTGAGCACTTTTACTCTTTATTAACTCGAGGTATCTTCAAAACCCTTCTTTACCTCCCCGAGGAGCTTGTCACCATTCTGAGATTCGATAACGCGGTGTTGGTAAGTTTGTCAGTTTTCGCAAATAATTTCAGGGCTCTACCTTTTATGTATTTTTTGATCGGATCAATCTTGAGGTTCCTGAGGATGTCATTCGTTCTAATGTATCATGGTACCTTGAAAGGTCTTCTCAGAGCCTGGCTTTGTGCAATTTCTAGCTGGCGAATAGTAGTGTTTGAAGCTTTACTTAATTTGGTTATATATCAGCTTTCTGTTCTTAACATTTGATTGATTTATGAACATATATGCAACATGTGACAATAAACTCAGACTATATGCAAACTATGAAAATGAAGTTTTTCGAACTCGATTTCTTAAGTAATATACGTGGTTTTAATTAAATAAATTTACATTTTATATTAAAAAAAAACTTAATATGTTTATTTAAATAATTGAAAAATAAATTGTAGTAACGTTTTTATGACTATAAGCCATCGAACCGTAATATTCGTATTGAATCGAATTAACAGAAAACTGTAGACAGATGGTTAGAAATGTTACATTACTGTTAAGTGTAACAGGCACTTAACATAGCTAAACATAGTTCAGTCATGCTATTTTGATGGGTTTCAGAAGATGAGTTTACATAAAGTGATCGAATAAATTATAAATTAAATTAAGATATGTAATATAATGCAAAAAATGAAAAGTAAAATTTGGTGAAATAATTGAAAATAACATGAGATCTTTTGTTTTAAAATATATGTATCATATATTTGTTTTTGTTTTAAATCTTATCAACTGGGCAAATTGTGTCAAAATATATTGAAAAAGTTAACAAAAACAACATTTTATTATATGAGACAAATTAGAAAAATTTAATAAGAATTAATATCAATTAATTTCAGTCGAGCGGATTATTAGAACAAAATGAATAATACATCGTACGAAGATGTGAGATAATAGTTAAGTATTAAATTATTAATCACACTTTTTAGTTAATTCGTTTATATATTTATTTATTAATTTGTTTGTGAGCTTTCACAATAAATATATGAATATTAAAGAAATCTCGTCATAAAATTTATTCCTTCAACTAATTCCTTTTTGAAATATTCTGGAATTGTATTGCTTTTGAAAACTAAAATCTGAATAATTTTTATTTATAATTTCAACATTCCAAAAGTCTAAATTTAAGATAAAAATATCTTAAACACAAAATTATTTTCGAAATCTGTCGATGATGTCTTGGTATTCATTTTGCACCCTGTTGCTGGTGGTGCCTGGACCAAGAGCTCCTTGCTTGTCTATTATTATGGTACTGATTTATACTTGAGACATGTATTCTTAAGAAAGACATGCTTCTTACCACCATGAAGACAATTTTAATATTTTTTATTTCAATTTACTGTTTTATTATATTTTTATTTATTGTTTCAACTTATAATTAAATTTTAAATGATTTCTTTTTATTTCTAGTCAGTAAAATGAAGCTGCTGTATGTTCTTAAAAAGGTTTTCATTTTCATAATATGTATTTCAATGGCTGTAAGTAATTATAAATGCAATATATACACACACATGTATATATATATATATGCATATATATATAAGTATATAATTACAATATATCCTAGACAGCTGGATTTTGCTTATTGTCGATGGCTATTTTATGTGCACTTTCAGCTCCAAAGAATTATCTCAATTTTTTAAATGTTGTGGGATTTTTTATTTTGGTTATGACAACCATTGGAGCTTATGGTATGTTCCAAGAACACATTTACTTTTTGATATCTGTGAGTTAATCATATTATATATTTTCACTATAATATCACCAAATAGTTTGATTTATTTCTAGTTTAGCACTTTCGGAATAATGGTACTAATTTTACAAGTCCTTGGCATTTGTTATGCCAGTGAAGAGGACGAAGTTGAGAAGATTGCTTATAATCACGTAGAAGACATGTGGAATACACAGTTAATAGTTGATGGTTATATGGATGAAATGCAGTGGAATGTATGTAAATTTATTTGTAATTTGTTGAAAGAAATTGAAATACTGAATTATTTTAATTCCGCAAATACAATAATTTTGAATTTATCCTAGTTATATTTTCATTTTCTAATGATTATCACAGAAAACTGAATTCGGATATTTTATAAAAAGAAGAAAAGAATAAATATTTCTTTTTTCGTAAAAAAAATATAGCAATCATAATTCTTACAAAGTGACCTCCAAGGAGTTATTACAGTTAGTATAATATTTTTGTTAGGACATATCCTTAAGATGACTTTATGTTATATCATAGACCTTCTATTTCAATTTAATAGGTTTATTAAAATTGATTTGGGAAAGTAAACACTTAAAAGAACATTACTCATCTTTTCAGAACTACTAACTGTGCTAGATTGTATAAACCGTTTAACTTTTTCAATTATTAAAAATCTTGATAAAAAAATAAAAAAATAAAAAAATAAAATAAAAAAAGATATTGAATTTGCTTATTTTCTGCTAAAACAATAATATACGATTATACATTCCATCACGTATGATATTACGTCACATATTTTTTAATAATATTTATTGATTTCAAAATACATATATATAAATTTTTAGTATTAACTTAAATATAAAATAAATTTCTTTCAGTTTCATTGTTGCGGTAAAAATGGCCCACATGACTACATTGAAATATTACGTGAAATACCGGGATCATGTCAAACTGGGAAAGGAAAATCATCTCATTATGAAACGGGGTGTCGAAAAGCAGTCAATGAAACATATAGATCATATTTTAAATACCTTTTATTATCCGAACATTTAAGTTTAATAGCAAACGTAACTATATTCGTTAAATATTTATATTTGAGTTCCTAATAAATAAATTTCTTTTCTGCTTTCTTAGACAATTGGGTGGATTGTAGGTACAGTAATATTAGTTGTGCTTCTCTGTAGACAATATCGCCGTAATGCAGTCGAAGAAACTTAATTTCTAATGCGATGAATACTATAAATATATGTACAAATAAAGTTAATTCATTTATGATAATTGAATTAATATAAAAAATTTAATTATTTAATTACTTAATTATTTGATAATATTAAATATTAAAAATGTAATTCTTCGTTAAGTTTAAATTAAAGATTGAAGAAATGAGTATCAATATGCGTGTGTTACTCATACGCCACCAAATTGTTAAGACACAAATATGCTTGGGAAATGATGAATTTTAAATGGGAAACGGTTCTTGAAAAATTTTAAATTGTAAACGTTGCATTTGAGCTAAAGGTTTGAAAGGCTCATACATTTTTTAAATTGACAAAGTTATAATTTAAACCTTCAATTTTAAGAGCAGCAGTTACACGATAGTCAATTTTTTTACGAAGTGAAATAGAATATTTGGATTTGGAAGGTATTGGTTTCAATAGCATGGCGCCAAAAGCCACACACCACGTCATGTTTTGGGTTTGTTGGGCAAAAAACTTCCCGGATGTGTAAGCGTACGTTTTGATGATCTCAATTGACCATTAAGTACATGCGATTTATGATTAATAAACTTTTATGCTTAGATTATATAAATCTTTGCATTTATGTGGACTGTCTTCAAACTCTCAACAGTTTAAAAACGAATATCCATCAAATTATGACTGAGCTTTTTCCAGTGAGAAAATTACCTCAAGAACATACAGTACTGTGATTTAGTTTTTGGCGTAATAAATATTAAAATGACGTTATATTTTATACCTAATGACAAATCTCAAACAATGTATTGATATAAAACTTGCTTGAAATCTTAATCTTAAGTCTGTTCTATTTACGTTAACTCTCAGAAGCACAAGCATTCTATACTTATTATTTTACAAAATACAATATTTGTTCATTTGAAGTAGTTATGTCAATCCAGACTTTATCAAGAGCCAGTAATTTGTTATGTTATCTCTAACAAAACCTACATTTGTATATTACATATAACCGACTTGCTGACATCACTCTGATCTAGGTTCCTGGACATAGTAGACTTGAAGAACACAAATAATCAGACGGTTTGGCACGCCTTAGTGCGTACCTAGATGTATTCAAA